TATGCAAATCATGTATTGAATTCACTAATTAGCACTATTGACTCTCAATATTCTTTAACAAAAAAATTATTAAAGTTCTTTTTATCTATTAGAATATGAAAATTGCGAATAACTCAAATAACGAACCATAATATTGCATATTTACTAATTGAGAATATCGAGAGAGTGAATATCATTTGAATATTTCTTCTAAAAATATATAACCAAAATTTATATCTTTACTTGATAAATTTTCATGTCTTAGTTCTATGTCTCTTAAAATTATCATACATTTATTATTTTACTATTTAAAAACAATTTTATATTTACTCATGAAGGAGTAATATTTTAAATTACAGTGTTGATAAAATTTATTGAGTTTTTAAAGAGGTAAAATATGCAGTTTGATAATATTTTTTAAGAAATTATAATTCTTACTTGCTTGAAAGTTAAGACGTTGTAGTTAATTTATATTTCATAGTAAATTTAACAATATTGCATTATTTATACTTGTAAAACATGCTAGATATTTTATTTTGTATGAGTTTCTTTAAAAAAATAGTTTTCTTAAATTTTTAATATATCTTTTATATTTTTTTCTGTTATAGTGCTATATTATTAATTCATAAATTTCAAAAAGTAAAGATTTGTGGGGCTTACGTCTCGTGTCTCGAGGCTTTCGCCTCGCCATGTATTACGTGTAACGCCCCATCTCAAGTCCTTACTTTTTAAAACACTATTTAGTACCACTCTCTCTTCAAGAATCTTAGGGGTGCTTATTTGGGCGGATCAGGCGGATAATTATGCTTAACGGTTCGGCTTATCGGTTATCGGATTATAAATATTGTAATTTGCTAGCCATCCAATAAGACAATGGGCGGATTGGTATCAGATTAACGATTATCGGACGGTTTATCGGCTAAACCAAATAGAAATTTTTTGGTATAATATTGAAATGGATTCTTTTTTATGGATGGTTTTGTTGACTGACTTCTTGTACGCATCCTGACAGACCTGATAAGCTGGATAAAATTAAAAATTCGGATGGGAAAGTTATAAATTGAAATGGATATCGAGTCTTAGGAGTTTTTGCTACTTCAAGATCCATAGGAAAGTCTAAATATAAAAATTCTTAACGGGTTAACGGTTTATCCGATAAGAAAATTGAGTAATCCGCCCTCAAACCGTTAAGCCGTTAATTATAAAATCTCAATCCGTTCACCATCCATTACCCCAATAATTCGATACCAATAAACCAATAAGCGATCGGTTCGGTTAATGGTTTCAATTCGATTTTGAACAACCCTATTCAAGATAGAGCGCATGTGAGAAGAGACGCATGTCTTAGCAAATTGAGACTTGTTTTTTAAGTGTGCGATTGGACAAAAGAATTGTAAAATTTCAAAAAAATAGAAAAAAATTCAAGTAAAAATGACATTTGAAAGTTTGAGTTGTGTTCGGACAAAAATATAATTTTGGGCTATTTTTCAATTTTTGTGAGTGATTTGAAATGAAAATTTTGAAAAAACAGTCTTTTGAAGTTTTTTAAATTTTCAAAAACTTTCAAAATTCATCTTCAAGTGATAATTGAAATTTTTATGGCCAAACGTTGATTTTGAAAAAAGTAAAATTTTTATGAAAAAAGTTGTATAACCAAACGGACCCTTAAAAGTGTTGCCTAACAAGGCGATGCGCCTGCCTTAAGCTATCACAACTAACCTCTAATAACACTATATAAGAAAAAAAATACAATATTTCAATTTTACTTATGAAATGCACTTTACTAGGTTTTCAATATAGGAAATTAAAAGTAACGCTAACTTTTCTAAATAATAGCTACAGGAAAGATAAAAATATTATAATAAGATAAATTTAACCGACAACCAGATCAATTCAGAAAAATCCAAGATTCAGTAACATCAAACGTGTCTTCCTTTAAATTTGATTATGTATTAAATATTCAATCTTATATATTTATAATACTGACAGAAATTGATCGATATTGTAAAATGCAAATATTTAGTAGTATAATGTAGCATTCTTCTTGAGAATTTTTTTAATTTCATTATCGTCTTGTTAGCCATGTTTTTCTTCTCTCATTTTGCTAGAGGAGATTTATATAATTAGGAAAGAACTTACTCATGATATTTATATCAAGTTAATAAATGCAACACATATGCCTTATACACACACAAATTATCACTTACGCATGCATGGTTAACTGATTTGTATTTTCACTATAAATTTTCAAACGCGTCTTTATCCTCTTTTCATTTGTTCTTTTGATATGGAGATGGACTCGTGAAAATTATTTTTAAAAAATGTTATATGAGTAGAGAATATGGTGAAATTGTAATCCTTAAACTACAATTAATCCCAATACAGTTTTAACAAGTGTGAAGTATTCTACTTTAGCTTCTTTTTCTTTGGTCTTCTAGTTCTTTTTCTTCTTCCTCTTCTTTTTTCTTTTTCCCATATTTTTTTCTCCTGTTTTAAAATAAAAATGCAATACTTGAAAGTTGTCTTAACTTTGGAAAAAGGAATATAACGGGGTCATCCATCACATATTCAAACTCCCAAGAAGTGAAAGACACGTAGAGTTAAGATTTCAATTTTATAGATTTTAAATTTTAGAACATCGTTTTTAAGTGTTTATAAGTGAATTCTGAATTTAATTTTTGCACATATTCTATGAATTTTTACAAAAATATCCTTTTTGAGCAAATATTATTAGGTTCGGCTGAATCCGTAGCCGGACTCCTAGCTCTGCCCTGACTGTAGGGATAGACATGGAGTAGTTGTTGGTGTAGAAGAAGGAAAAAAGCTTCCTTAATCCTTACCCTTAACTTTTCTCAAACATAAAGCTATCCATTATTTCCTATGCTTGTTTGACTCTTACCTTAATTTATTGTTTAATTAATAACCTTAATCGTGATATCAACTACGTACTCCCCAACCACCCCCACGTCGAATTGTTGGTGACAAAAAAAACTCATTTAATTGTCCATTTATTAAAATATTAATACGGTATAATGAGGAATATATTAATAATGCTCATGCAATTGCACTAGCCCTCTAAATTTGTTGGCAAAAGCATTTAATCAATTCATTTGGCGAAACAACCAATTATTTCCTAAATTTTGCTCATTAATGAACTCGCATTTTGTTATTTAATTTATTCATTTTTCATTGTTAATTGAATAAGCTCGACGAATTAAATGTTAAAGCTCGTACTTATTTCAATTGAAGTGAAAGATTAGTTAGCTGACAGAACAACAAATGTTTTAGGTATATACTCCCTTTGTCCCAATTTATATGATTTTTTTGCTTTTTGAGATTCAAACTTATTAATTTTGATTGTGTATATGAACATAGAATCTTTAAGTTTTTCGAAATAAAATTTATATATTAGGAAACTACGTAAAAAGTACTATAAGTTACTAATTAATAATTCAAAATATCTAAACGACATATAAAAAATTACAGTCAAAGAATTACTTGTTTGACTCTCGAAATTTAACACCATCACATAAATTGAGATGGAAAAAGTAACTAATTTATACCTATGGCGGATTATTATTCTAGTATTAAATTTCGTTGTAGATCAACTAATTAATAAATTATAAAAGGATTTGAGTTATAGATTTGTCTATGTAAGTTGACCACCTATAGCAAATTTCTTTTTATTTATTTTAGATTATCGATCAATGTTTATTAAATAGTTATCCATAATTATCTTTTAATTAATCTTATTATATAAATAGTTTTTACGTTATTTGTATATAACTTAAACTCATTATAAAAGCAGAAGCATAGAGACGAAAATTTAAATGTCAACCCTATATAGATGACAAATGAATTGTGCGTTTCACGACTATTAATATTTGGAACTTCCAAATCCTAAAAAGAGTTAAGACAGAGAATGTAGACGCCTGAAATTTAGACTTCTCGAAGTTAAAGAAGTTAGCAGCTGAAAATAAGACAGAATAAATAACACCTTTTCTGAATGGTGAGCACTAATTTTCCATTTCCTATTTATGGCCATTATAAAACAGGATTGAAAACAGCCCTATAAACGAGCAAACAAGGAACACTTTGAAATAACTCTTGTGGTTTCCTTCCACTAACAAGAGTACCATCAATACTCTCTACTCTCATTTGTTTCTATATTTTTTGATTAATATTAGTAAAATATTATTATAAAGAATATATATTATAACATAACATAAAAAATGGTTTCAAAGAAAAGCTGTTACAGTGAAGTGTTGTTATAGATGATGATTGTTATAGAGATGTCTAACTGGTTAGTTTTCGCGCACTCAAATTTACCAAAAATATAAGTCTTCGCAAAATCATAAGATGATATGGGGGCCCGCAGCCTGCTCAGAAAGTTAAGGAAGTTGGTAACATGATGACAGTGGAACCGACAACTGTAACCCTAGTGAACGATACTAGTAATTATAACAGTCCTAAGGTAGAAAAATTTTCCAAAGTTACAACTGAACGCAGGCGATCATTCAACTCTATGGTGAAACTGTAGAGAATATATTTTAATTTGACTAAGAAAGAGTGCAACTTAATGGTTAGAAAGTGAGTAAAAATCATGAAAGTCCACAATTAAAATTCTAACATAAACAAAAATGTTACTACAGTACTAGCAATCTTTTTTTATATAAGTTACTACTAGTACTTATACTGATGGAAGATAACATATACAGTGTACCAATAAAATAATCTAACTGTGTACAAATTGAAACTAACGCAATTATTATTTAAGGAAAAAAAAACAGTTAGTTTTCTAGAAGTGAAAGAACAAAGTAGTTTTAAACAGATAGAAGGTGAGAAAGACATGCATCCAATCACCAATTCTCAAATCAGTTTCTTGCAGAAAATCCCATTTCACCAAATCTCATTAAAAAACAAAATTTTATAACAGGAAAAAAAAATTAATACTCCATATAATATATTTGTTTCACTCTTTTCTTTCCCTATAATTACTACTTATATTCTTACCTGCATTTTTTCCCCCTATCTCAGCTTACTCAACTCCTAATTCTCATGCATTTACTCCAACTCAAAGAAAATGCCACTCTTCTTCTCCTCCAACTTATTCAACATGAAACAATTTAGCTGCAGCAGTAGCAGAAAACTCAACAATCTGCCAATATGCATAATAGTTTTCTCCTTATTCATTTTTGGGCTTTTCATGTACAGTGAAGATGTTAAGTCCATTGCTCAATTCCAATTCTCAAGACCTAATAAAATTCAAGAAAATGGGGTTCAAGAATCTTCAAATAAGGAAAATGGGGTTCTAGAAAATTCCACAATCTTGAAGTCAAGTGATGATATGAAGATTGAAATGGCCAATCAAGAAGAAGAGGAGAAAATTGAATTGCCACCTGAAAAATGTGATCTTTTTAAAGGGCAATGGGTTTATGATAATGTTACTCATCCAATTTATAAAGAATATGAATGCATGTTTCTTACACAACAGGTTACTTGCATGAAAAATGGAAGAAAAGATTCTTTGTATCAGAATTGGAGGTGGCAACCCAGAGATTGTTCTTTACCCAAGTAAGTTAAAAACTCATTCTTGAATTCTACCGTACCGGGTTGTTTAGGGCTAGTCTGTTAGTATCTTATCGTTGCTCTTAGATTGCTAGTATTATGGCTGGTTTCTTACTATCTTCCGTTTCGGTTTTCTAAAATCTTATCGTGGTTACTGCTTATTGCTATTGCTATTGCTTTCTTCCATCTATTTTTCTGGTTCTTACATTGTTGGTATCATTTTTCTGGCATTTGTTGTTCATATTTGATTATTTTCTATTCATCCTTTCGAGCCGAGATTTTTTCGGAAACATACTCTCTACCTTCACAGGATAGATGTAAGGTATGCGTATACACTAACCTCCCCAGACCTTGACTTGTGGATTCCACTGGGTTTGTTGTTGTTGTATTCTTGAATTTTAACAAAAAAAGACAGTCTGGTGCACAAAGCATCCCGCGTTCACGTAGGGTATGAGGAATGACCGCATCCCAAGAAGGTGTGATGTAGGCAGCATGCTCTGATGCAAATATTAGTGGCTGATTTCATGACTCGAACCCGTCACCTATAGGTCACACGGAGACAACTTGACCGTTGCTCCAACGCTGCCCTTCAAAAAGATTATATTTTTATGGCCTTCTTCTCTGTTTTCTTAGTTTTTTTTTTGTTTTTCTGAACACCTTTTGTATCATTAAATTTTCAGGTTTAGACCAAGATTGCTACTTGAAAAGCTGAGGAATAAGAGACTAATGTTTGTGGGAGATTCACTGAATAGGAACCAATGGGAATCTATGATTTGTTTGCTTCAGTCTCGAGTTCCTTTCAGCTGGAACAAATTCAAAAAGATTGACTCTTTGAATATTTTCAGCATTGAGGTATATATCTATATTTCTCTTTTCCTCTATTTGAGTAATAACATAAACTTTTCAAATGATATTTTTTTTTGTTTAATCATTCGGTATTAGAAACTCACTAGCCGACTAATCAGATTCGAATCGAGTAGGAATTACTTTTTTGCATCTAAATGAATATGTTCTGGTATATTAGGAATTCTCTTTTTTCGGGATGATAAGAGTCTATTGATACTTTATAAATTCATAGGCGGAGCTAGGATTTAAAGTTTACGGGTTCTAGATTTTAGTCATTTTAAGTTATTGGGTTTAAAATCAATAATTTGTATATATTCAATAATTTCTTAGGACAAATACAAGATTGAGACTAAAGTTGCTGGATTCGGCCAAACACGTAACTTATACACTGGATCTGCCCTATATAAATTACTCCTGATTAATCAGCAGGGCTGGTAGTTTTGACTTTTGATTACATGTCAAAATAATGATTTACCTTCACTTAATTGGATAACATTAATTTAAGTAAACAGGGAATGATTGATTGCTTAAGACTATTTTCACCTAATACTAATTGTGAGCTGCTTATCTCTATTGCAAGTTTCCTTTAGTAGTTGAACTAATGTCACCACCCTAAAAAATTTAGCTTAGAGTATGTTAATATATTTTTTCTATTTAACTTTGGAGGTAAATATTGCTGCCATGTGACCAGGAGGTCACGGGTTCGAGCCATAAAAATATGCTCTTGTAGAAATGCAGGGTAAGATTGCGTACAACGACCTTTGTGGTCCGGCCCTTCCCCGACCACGGGCATATCAGGAGCTTAGTGCACCGGGCTACTCCTTTTAACTTTGGAGGTAAATTTTGCAGGAGTATAATGCCACATTAGAATTTTACTGGGCTCCATATCTTGTGGAGTCAAATTCAGATGATCCAGCACTACACAGCGTTTCGACCCGATTCATTATGCCTGAATCAATTGAAAAACATGGCAATAACTGGAAAAATGTGGATTATCTCATCTTCAATACTTATGTTTGGTGGATGGGTGGTGGCAAAATGAAAGTTCTGTAAGTAAACATCTTTAGCAGAAAGAAAATACCGACTTCATTTTCTTATCTGCAATGTTCAACATTTAAGTTTCTAACTCATTTTTCATATAGACGAGGATCATTTGATGAAGGATCGACAGAGTACGATGAGATTGAGAGGACGATAGCTTATCGACGAGTGTTGACAACGTGGTCTCAATGGATCGAAAACAATGTGGATCCTAATCGTACACAAGTATTTTTCATGAGCATGTCGCCTATGCATATCAAGTAATGATCCCTTTGTTCTTATGTGCCAGCTGTTGTTTCCCTTAGCGCTTATAATTTATGAGTATAGTTTCTATACACTGACAGTCAGATCATGAAATGATCATTATATATATATGAAATCGTCTATAGAAAGTGAGATTAGTAACCTAGAAAATAAGGTACGTTACTAGCTATGATAGATTGGTAATGCAAAATTCGTGTATATAGTAAAATCTAAACACTTTACAAGAAAACAGTTCCTTTGAATAACAGTAAATCTACTAAGTAAACTAATGGTTGTATGGAAATGTATGAAACAGGAGTATGGACTGGAACAATCCGAACGGGATAAAATGCGCGAAAGAGACGACACCAGTACTGAACATGTCAAGGCCACTTAATGTTGGGACTGATAAGAGGCTATTTGCAATAGCATCAAATGTAACTCAATCGATGAAAGTCGTTCCAGTATACTTCATGAATATCACATCTCTATCAGAATATAGGAAAGACGCACACACTTCACTCTACACTATTCGACAAGGCAAAATGCTTACCCCCGAGCAGCAAGCTGATCCAGCCATTTATGCTGATTGTATACATTGGTGCCTCCCGGGATTGCCTGACACTTGGAATGAGTTTCTATATACGCGTATAATGTCCCGTTCTTGATATTTTGCAGATGTGGGAAAGGGAAAGGGGAAAGGAGTAATGTAATGCGAACACACACTTATAGTGTGAGGCTTCTGCGGATACCACTAGGCTATAAGTTTTGGTGGTTATTCCTCATTTTGATTTTGATATGCTGATTAGTATTTTTTGTGCTCTTTTGGGACTTTACATTCTGCTTATAAGACTATTGAAGAGTCTGCAAATTGGAGGAAAACTTAGGACGAACAGAATTGTACAATGAAATTGTCTAAAGGAAATAAATAATAGATGCAGATTGTATGCACATTGATTAGGGCATTTGCTCATCCCATTTTTTCTTCGTCTATATTCTTACTTTTATTTTTTTCTTCCTTTTTTTCGTGAGAAAAGAAATTGCAGTACTTACAACTGAACAATAATACAAGAAGCTGCTGTTTATGTCCACAAAATTCTTAAGCGGGGAAGAAAACTGGAGCTGAAGTTTTATGCACTAACAGTATATCAGGTGAACGTCATCTGCAAAAGAACTCATCACAGTGCTCTTGATACGGTAATATGAAAAATAGAGTAATAACTTAATTTAACTGGGTTTTTTTAATCTTCTTTTAAATATAATCCCGCGCAGTTGCATTCAAACATTTTGTGAAATTTACATTCAACAATTAGAAACTCATTATCAGCATATGCAGAAGGATTGTCTATGCCCACCAACCGACAATCAAATGGGGTCTTAAACGTCTTCAGGTTGCAAGAATTATGCTCAAAAGTTAAGAAAGTCCATTGTTTGTGGGGAAGTATATAATTTGTAGAATTGACACTAGTTAATCACTCTAAAAGACTGTTATTTAGAAATTAGCCAATATGTCTAGAACTTCAATTTTTCAGTTCAATTTTTTGGGACACAAATGTCTTGAATTGCCTTGAAATTAAGATTTTTAGTTCAAATTTTTATTTTTTAGGAAAAAATAAGTACTGGCTAATCAGTAAATAACAACCATAAGAATGGTTGTTTGTGTACTTCCCCTATACATTTTGATTAGCCCATGGCCGGGATATTGGGCTCTCGATATCCTATACAGTGACATTGTCCTTGTTGAGTTGCTGGAGAGCAAGTTACACATTTAGTTGGTCGACAAAAAATAATTACATTCACTAGCCACATATATAAAATATGTATGTTATATGTATATTATAGATTGATATCCAAAAAATATACATTTTACCGACTACTATTATTTTTGGGAGCGGATATACTGTAAAATTTTCCTTTATTTTATAATGTTTGACAGTTTAGATGAATTTCTGGTTTGTTGTTTAAAAACAAATAAAGCAAATTAACTGTACTTGGATTGTTTTTGGTTTGTTGTTTTTGATTCTTAGTAAGCTCTGGAGTGTAAATATGGACATGACGGGCTAGAATCTTTATTGTGTTGAATATTCAGATACTAATATATAAGATTTTCTACCCCTTGCATAACTGTTGAAATTTTCATTTATTTTCGAACAAAATTGATACTACATCTACTGTATTATTATATCAACTCGAAGGTCTAAAGCAAGTTTCGAAGGGAGTTGCTACAAAGTACAAACTGATGCATCAATGATGCTAAACAGGGAATAGTTTAGGGTTTTTTTTTCTTTCACTTTTAGCTCGCGCCAGAAACTATTTACATTCTATAGCCGAAAAATATATAAAATCTGAATATAACATACATAATGTGTACATATATATATATATATATATATATATATATATATATATANTCATAATTTATTGGGACGGGTAATTAAAATCGGTCATTGGGTAATGGATAAATGGGTTGAGAAAATGAGTAATAGGTGAGTTAGATTTTTCAAATAATTTGTGTATATATTTTCATAAGAGAAAATGTTGGTTTATGCTTTGTACCGTTATATAAAGGCAGCGTTTTGGTATATTCTAGTTGCAAAATAATTTAGGTAATCCAGTGCACTAAATATTTAGACTTGGTTTTAGTAATCTAACCAAATGTTGAGGTGGGGCTGTAAGTACGAGAAATACTTATTCGCACTCAGTGTTTACACCAAACCACTAAATACATGATATGTGTTTAGCGTATAGACTTTAAACACTTAATCATGGTTTATGCATTTTAACATCATTAAATCGCCTAGCTATAGTAAGTTAACATGGTTTGGTATAAACACCGGGTGCGTTAAATTTTTACGTGTAAATACATCTTCATCCTTAATAAAAGGTTTCGAGTTTGAGTCTTTAGACTTGAAGTAACTTTTAGTAGGGAGCGTTTTACCCACCAAAATAGGACTTGTATGCGAATTAGAATTAGTCCAATTCCAAAAGCATATACCAGACATGAGTTAGAAATAAAAATATAAATCGAAGCCAAAACCTAAATTATAAGCATTTGATTCAAACATCTCAAATGGTGAAAACACTTTGACCCATATGTATGGTTTCTTTTTTAGGTTCACATGGGTTGCAATTTTACTAGTGGTGTTGTCTAGAGAAATTTTCAGAAATGATTTTCCAAAATCTTAAAATAATAATTTTAATAACATTATTTTCCGAAAAACTCTTCGGAAAACATTTATGCTGGACCTAATCCTTTATTAAATCTCCAAAAATATTTTATCAAAAGGTAATCTATCTACGCAATCCAATCTGTTTATTTTTAAACTTTTTCAAAACCTATAAGCGTGTAGCTAGATTTTCTTGTCTTTTCTCTTTTCCCCTAAAATTAGATTTTAGAGTAGGAAAAACTTGTAGACGGCTGATATTTACGCCAAACTAGTAAATACTTGGCACATGAAGTTGTTATTTGTTTGCTTAATTTCTTATCATGTTATCATAATTAAGTTTATTTTTAAATATAATGTTAATTAGTATTTGTAAAACTAATTTTTTAAAATCTTATTTGTTTAAGTTTTATACTCCAAAGTAAATATAGTAGTATCATGTGTCTTTTATAAAATTCAAATAGCAGCTTCAAATATTAGAACTTAAACTAGTATTAACTCATAATCAAGAAGGGAATAAGAAAACAACTCATAGTTGCATTGATTTTTATGTTCCTCCTAGAGTTAAACAAAATAACTATAAATCACGAGCGGAATCTTTTTTGAAATTGTCAGTGCCTGAATCATTACTAAAAAAACATGAATTAGCTACGAACAAATTTTATAGCTAAACAAAAAATTCATTGCTAACCCTGTTTAGCAACGGATTAATAACAAATTATAAAGAAACTTTGTTAGCCTAAATTCTCTCCATTTTTACATCAACTACTTTCTATAGTTAAAAAAGGACAAACAATAATATCTCTCTTTTAATTTTAGTTTGTCTTAAATAATGCCAATTTTGATTGAGAATTATAGTAAATGCTTCAACTGAGTTGAGCTGTTAAATATATATACTCTCCATATTTACAAGCTTGTCATGCAAGAGCCAGCTAAAACCATATAAGGGACAACTTACAAACCAATTCCAAAGAAATTAAACCAAAACTTCCTCTTGTAAATTTTATAATCATGTCTTCAACAAGTCATTTTGTGACTGGATTTTACCTTGTGATTTTATTAGGAAATGCAGTTGCTTCAATAGACTATGGAATAGCCCTTACAAAATCTTTACTGTATTTTGAAGCTCAAAGATCAGGAAAATTGCCCCCTAACCAGCTTGTTCAATGGCGTGGAGATTCAGCACTTCAAGATGGCAAAGACGCAGGGGTATATATATCAAGCTCTCTAAAACTTTTCTCATTTTATAGGGATAATGATAGGATATGTTATTTAGAGGGAGACTTAGAGTAACGGTTAAGTTGTATCCGTGTGACTTATAGGTCACGGGTTCGAGCCGTGGAAGCTCCCACTAATGCTTGCATTAGGATAGGCTGCCTACGTCACACCTCTTGGGATGTGACTTTTCCCCGGATCCTGTGTGAATGCGGGATGCTTTGTGTGCTGGGTTACATTTTAACGATAGGGTATGCCATTCACCTCGTACAAATTGAGACGAATCTAGGATTTAAATTGAGTGAGTAAAGAATATTTATGTATAAGCTATAATTCTATAAAGCAATAATTCAAACAATTGAAACTGAGTTTAATCATTCCTAGCTAGATACTCCTCTGCGTAGAAAGTAAGAGATTAGGCAACATGTCCCTCCTATATCTTTTTTATTTTTTACCCTTTAATCTTAAATATCGAGTTCTATTCCCATATGTTTTTTTTCCTTTTGATCTTAATATTGAAATCTATCTAATCCCCTGCCAGTATTAATGACTTTTAGTTTTTAGAAAGTTTTCTATATATCATTATTTTTCCATTATTGTTTTGATCCGTTAAAAGAAATGATGGTCTCCACAAAAAGCAAAGGTTTTGGTGACAACTCAAAAAGATCGCTAAAAAGTAGTCGTATTAGTGGCAACCCTTGTAGTCGCAACAAAAAGTAACATTTTAGTATGTACTAAATTTTAGTGGCCAAATATAACTATCAACCGGGGCGGAGCTAGGTAGCAAGAAGGGGGGTTCAGCCGACCCTTTTGCCGAAAGTTACACTATGTATATAAAGTCAATTTTTTTGTTGTATATATATTAGATGTTGAATCCACTTAGCTTCTTTGTGCGTTTACTTTTTTATTTTTTGAATCCCCTTAGATTCTTCACGTATTTATCCTTTTTGTTTTTTGAATCCCCCTGATAAAAATTTTGCTTCTGCCGCTTCTTATCAATGGTTGCCACTAAAGGTCTTACACTTTTTTCTTTTTCTTTTGCCATTAGATTGACTTAACAGGAGGATATTATGATGCTGGAGACAATGTCAAATTTGGATTTCCAATGGCATTTACAGTGACAATGCTAGCATGGAGCGTAGTCGAATTTGGCGAAGAATTAGAAGCCAAGAAAGAATTAACAAATACTCTAAATGCAATCAAATGGGGAACTGATTATTTCATTAAAGCACATACACAACCTCATGTTTTATATGGTGAAGTTGGAGATGGGAATTCTGATCACCAATGTTGGGAAAGACCAGAAGATATGACAACGCCGAGGAATTCTTACAAAGTTGATGAACAACATCCTGGTTCTGATCTTGTTGGAGAAACTGCTGCTGCTTTTGCTGCTGCTGCCATTGCTTTTAACAAGTCGGATTCGAATTATTCTTCTCAACTTCTCATCCATGCAAAAGAGGTGACAACTAAGCTCTTAATTATCTATGCTATGTTATAAGGACTCTCCAAAATATTATCGCACCCGTACAGATCCTCCAAAAATACATTAATTTTGGAGGATCTGACCAGTGCCGACTCTAACTTTATACTACCTAATAAGGCTTGTGCCTTAGGCCCCCAAAAAAGTTAATAGGTATTTTTTTTTAGAAATAATAAGTTAATAGGTATTTTAAAAAAATTAACAAGGTTGCATCACAAAAAATTAGAAGAATAGACTTCAAATACAAATATATATATATATATATATANGATCCGACATGTCCCCAACGATATTTTCGGAGAGGCCGAAAACATAGTTAATTATTATTACTCTCTTCGTTTTAATTTATGTTAACCTATTTGACTGGACGTGGAATTTAAGAAAGAAATGAATACTTTTAGAATTTGTGGTTTAAAATGTACCATAATATTTGTGTGGCTGTGAGAGTTTTAAAATTAGTGTTTTTTTTAGCATGCCATAGCGTTTGTATGGTTATAAAATTTTTTCATCAAGAGTAAAATGATAGTTAAAGTTTAATTATTTCTAAATTTACAAAAGAGTCATTCTTTTTAAATGGACTAAAAACGAAATAGGTTAATATAAATTAAAATAAAAAAAGTAATTGATATTTAATCTAAGTGCAGTTATAAGAATTTTTATAGGAATCCTTATCAGTTACCACACTTGATATTTACATCAAACTAATGATTACTTGACGCTGTGTCCTCTACACCCAGTTAAAAAAAAGAGATTTTTTTTATTTTTTTTCTTCTTATGAGACGATACTCAAATCTAGATTCTTGTAATTGCGATTCAAGTGAAAAAAATGACTGGCAAAAGATATTGGCTAATTCTAATTATTTAATTAAGAGATTCAATTGTTGGTCATTAAAGAATTCACTTAACTAAAATAAATTAATATGCCTTTTCATGTAAATTTGCATTAAATCACGGTAGATTTCAATTCTTCGGTTATAAATATTGGAGGTGGAGATTTACATAAATTTATATTATATTTTAATTTGTTATTGCAGATTAGTTATCATGTAGCCTAAGTAACCTGAATAAAGGGAGTTATGTCTTCCAGATTTTGACCCAAAAATGAGGATTGCTTTTTGGTGGTTTGTTTATGCCTGTGGAGTTGATTGGGTAACAAATATTAACGAAAAAACTGTTTTAGTAAAAAACAGCTCAGCAAATTTTTGAATTTTCTCTTTTTTTCTTTTCGAACAATTTTCTAATCTAAGCGACACCTTAGATTTTCCGGGTAGAGAAATTTGGGAACTTAATATGATAGATAAATACTATAACTCCTACCATATTAATTAGAACTAGGAGTATCAAATGAGCGGGTTTGATCAATTTTGGGCAGGTCAAAATGGGTTGAGTCAATAATTGGGCGGATCATTTGATCCGCATAATTATTACTTGGGCGGATCAGTTGACCCGCCCAATTATTACTTGGGCTAAGATGGGCTAAAATTTGGGTCATAGCCCAATCCGCCGAACTCTTATAAAGCTTTACATTATATGTACTCCCTCCGTTTCAATTTATGTGAACTTATTTCCTTTTTAGTCCGTGCCAAAAATGATGACATCTTTCCCTATTTGGAAACAATTTACCTTTATGCAGTAATTTATAGTCACACAAAATATATGTGTCTCATTTTATACCACAAATTCAAAAGTTTTCTCTCTTTTCTTAAATTTCGTGCCCAGTCAAATGAGTTCACATAAATTGAAACGGAGGGAGTATTGTATTCTTATGAATTGTATAATTACTGAATAATTTTTTTTTCCGTTTGTTATAGTCATATATAACATATCAAACAAAAAGAAATATTTCTAGGATATTTTAGCAAAGTTACTCATGGATCAATTGGACTAAAAATCAGCCCTCTTTTAAATGAATTGAGATGAGTTGGGTTAAGATATACTGAGTTCAATAAATGAGCGGGTCAATAACCAGCTCAACCTTGGGCGGGTCATTTGCGCTTGGGCCAAATTTGACAGCCCTAATTAGAATTGAGTTTGTTGTGTGAATGTATTAATGTGATCTTAGTGTGAGTCAAATAATATTGATCCATTTTTTGCATTATTTTGCAGTTATTTGATTTTGCTAAAAAGTTCCAAGGCCAGTACCAAACTAGCATTTCAGTGGCAGGTCAATTCTACAGTAGCACCGGCTATGAGGTAAAACAGATGCATATTATAATTTCTCTAATTTTATGGGATGTCTATATATGTTTTTCACTTCTCATTTGGCTTATCACAGGATGAACTCTTGTGGGCTGCTACTTGGTTGCTAAAAGCCACACAAGACAAAACATACCTAGACTACATCAATGATCAAGCCACTAGTTCAGGTGGCACTAGATCCATGTTTTCTTGGGACGACAAGTATGTCGGCGCACAAGTCCTGATCGCCAAGGTAATCAACTGTTATAGATCTTTTACAGTTGATAATATATATAAAGTTAAATTCTTCTCATAATGGTCGATAAAAACATATTTATACTTACTATTCGTGTCACGAACAGAATCTGTTAGAGAAGAAATTTCCATGGAACGAAAGTTCATTGAGTCAATACAAGAAAAATGCTGAGGAATTCATATGCAACTGCATACAAAAAGGGAACAACAACATAAAGAAGACTAATGGAGGACTTCTATGGTGGCAACCTTGGAATAATCTTCAATATGTTACAGCTGCAACATTTGTTATAACCAGTTATGCAGATACACTGTTTGCTACTAAAAATTCTCTCCAATGCGCTACTGGAACAGTGGAATCTTCGAACCTAATCACGTTCGTCAAATCTCAGGTACACACATGTACATACATATATTTTCCCAAAACTCAATTTTACCGAAATAATTTCGATTTGAAAAGGTACAAATATTAAAACACATGTAGGTACAGTGACTTTACAGTATGTGTTTGGCATGATGGAATTCATTTCTCATGGAAAATATTTTTCGGGAAATTGTTGGAAAAGATATTCTTAAGGAAATATTTTTTGGTGTTTGATTAGTGAGTGAAAAATACTTTCTGAAAGAAAATATATTAAAATTTAATAATAATATAGCAAATAGGATAATGTTTTTGACAATTTCTTATGAGTATTAAAGATTAGCAATAATGTCTAATTAAGTATTAGTTAGAGTAAATCATCTGAAGTTAAGAGTTAAGATGATGTGAGGAAAATTATTTTTTCTCTTTTAATAAAAAAAGTTCTCTTTGGATACGTTTTCTGGTAACCAAATAACATTCTCGTGAAGCAGCCACTAATGCTTACATTAGGTAGGTTGTTTACATCACACCCTTTGAGGTGCGGCCTTTACCTGGATCCTGCGTCAATGCGGAATGCTTCGTGCACCGGACTGCCCTTTAAATAACTTTCTCATGAGAACTATTTTCTTAAAAATACCTTTTGTCGTATCGTAATCGGACACACCCATGTAATATATTTCTATAACCTTATTGATGACAGCCAAAAGATAAAAAGCAACCAACATAAGTACATAACATACTAGTATTTACTAAGAATTTTCTATCTTTTTATCATATGATCAGGTGGATTATATACTTGGCGAAAACCCGAAAAAAATGAGTTACATGGTAGGGTTTGGGACAAATTACCCGCAAAAGATTCATCACAGAGGAGCATCAATTGTGTCAATTAAGAAAGACAGGACTACAGTGAGTTGCAGTGAAGGTTTCAGTTTATGGTTTTATAAAAATGCACCAAATCCAAATATTTTAGATGGGGCAATAGTTGGAGGACCTGATATTAGTGATAACTATAATGATTCCAGAAGTAATTTTCAGCAAGCTGAAGCAGCTACAGCTAATACAGCACCATTAGTTGGAGTTTTAGCCCGACTAACTGAATAAATGTTTTTATATATATTAATTATATTATTGTTTTATTTTAATGTCTTGTCCTATACCTATATATTATTGTTGGTAGTCGGTTTTTATGGCTACGGTTGTTTTCTTTCATTGTTGATCACCTTACTATCTTGTTGTTTTATTCTGCTTTTATATGATTTTTGGTACTGTCCCTTCTTGTCTTTATTTTCATTAATGTGGTGTTTATACTTTCCTAAGTCGAGGGTCTATTGGAAACAACCTCTCTATCCTCCCCAGACGGGAGAAAAAGAGCCGCCTAAGATCAGAGGTGGACCCAAGATTTAAAAATGACAGGAGCATCATTGTCGAATAAAATTTTGAGCAAATACTAGATTCAGATTCGAACTCAGGTAGTGTACTAAAAGTCAAGTTGTGCTCTCTAAATCGACCAATGCAATTGCCTAAAATTTGAATCTTAGGGTGCCAATAAAACTAAAAACTTGTCATTTAAGACACATATATATATATATATATATATNTATTGAGTGCCTGATAACAAATCAATACCAAAGTCGATATCCCTGTCGGGCGGCATGCCCGGAAGATCCGCCGGAAATGCGTCTAGATAATCCCTCACTACCAAAACTGACTCGATGGTAGGAGTATCAACACTAACATCTCTCACATATGCTAGATACGTATCACACCCCTTCCCAACCTTCCGCTGAGTCTTTAGAAATGAGACAACCTTGTTAGGAACATAATCTAAAGTACCTCTCCACTCTAGCCATGGTAGACCTGGCATAGCAAACATCACCATCTTGGCGTGACAATCAAGAATAGCATGATAGGGCGAAAACCAGTACATGCCCAAGATAATATCGAAATCCACCATAATCGAGCAACAATAAATCGGCTTTGGTCTTAAAACCACTAAGAACAACCAAACACAACTGATACACACGGTCAACAATAATAGAATCTTCTACGGGTGTAGACACATAGACACGAGAACTCAAAGAATCACGGGATATACCCAAATATGAAGTAAAATAAGATGACACGTAGGAATAAATGAAGCCTGGATCAAATAAAACTGATGCAACTCTATGACAGACTGGAAAAATACCCGTGATGACAGAGTCAGATGCAACTGCCTCCGTCCTAGTAGGAAGGGAATATTATCTAGCCTGGACTCCCTCTCTAGGGTAACCTTTGCCTGCTCGACATCCACCTCTAGATAGCTATGCAGGTGGGGGGGAAACTGGTGCAGAGACCATGGACTGAGAAACCTGAGGGCTCGGTGGAATACGCGGAGTCTGAGTAATCTGTGGAGGTGCACCCTTCCTGAGTCTGGGGTAATCCCTCACCACATGACGAGTGTCACCATACTCAAAACAAGCTCTCGGAGGATGTGGCTGCTGTGGCTGGCTCGGGCCTGATCGACTGGACTGACTGCTGAAAGCACCCCGTGCAGGAGGTGTACTAGACAATGGCGGTGCATAATAGGGAGCCTGAGGCCTAGGGGTGGCCGGAATACCGATGAAAGCTGGAACTGCTGAATGAACAGGGCGACTCATATAGCCCCTACCATGACGAACTGCAACTGGGAACGAGTACCACTGTATGTGCCAGAGTCTCGATACCTCTTAGCCTCCATCTTCTCTCTATCCCGAGTCAGCATACCCTCAAATCTCCTGGCAATCCCCATTACTTGCTGGTATACGATGTCCATATCTAACTCTCGGGCCATGCTAAATTTGATACTGGGGTTGAGCTCCTCGATAAATTGACGAACCCTCTCTCGAACAGTAGAAACCAAGGTTGGTGCATGCCTATTGAAATCACTGAATCAGACCGCATATTCCAATACGATTATAGAACCCTGGCGTAACTGCTCAAACTCTGCGTTCCATACATCTCTAAGGCTCTGGGGAACATACTCCCTTAAAAATATATTTGAGAACTAAGTCCAAGTAAGTAAAGCTGCCTCGGCTGGACTACCCAACTCATATGATCGCCACCACTAATAGGCCGCTCTTCTAAGATGGAACGTAGTAAAAGAAAACCCACTAGACTCTGCAACACCCATAGAACGGAGTATACGGTGGCACTCCTCAAGAAAACTCCGGGCATCCTCTGATGCCAAGCCACTGAAAGTAGGAGGGTGGTACTTCTTGTACCTCTCGAGTCTGAGCTGCTCTTCCTCAAAAACTGCTGCCCTAACCTCGGGCTGAACTGGGGCTACCGGCTGCATTGGTATGACCTCTAGAACCTGGTTGACCTGGACCCACTGCTCTAGGGTACGGGAGGTGAGCGTATGTGCTCCTCCCCCGACCTGAGATGTGACAGGAGCAAGTGGTATCAACCTTGCTTGAGCCAAAGTGCTGAACATGCTCAGAAACTGGGCAAGAGTCTCGTGGAGGGTTGGTGTAGTAATATGCGTCTCAGGTGTCTGCCCTCCAATTGGAGCTACTAGTGGCTCCTTTGTAGCAGCACGTGCGGGTGCTCTGGTTGCACCTCATGGATGTCCTCGGCCTCTACCCCGGCCTCAACCTCTCGTGGCTCTAGCATGGACGCGAGTGTATGGTCATCTGATCCAGCTGTACATGTCCTCACAATCTGTGAAAGAATAGAAAGACAGAAATTTAGAATCCGAAGATAAAAATTTGGCACGATAAGGAATCAAAGAAGTGAAGCTTTTCCTGACAGTTCCATAGCCTCCCGAAGATAAGTACAAACGTTTCCGTACCGATCCTCGAGACTCTACTAAACCTGCTTGTGACTCATAACACCTGTGAACCTAATGCCCTGATACCAACTTGTCACGACCCTATTTTCTATCCATAGGATGTCGTGACGACACCTAGTCTATAAGACTAGGTAAGCCTAACAAGTATGCAGAATAAATAAAATATTAAGCTAAACTCAAAACGTCAATATTTGTAATAAATAAGACTGCAATTCAAGTAATAACAACTCTAAAAAATCGGTAGATATAAGTCATAAGCTTTAAAGAGAATTACTAAATATCCCTATATATCAGAGTCTAACGAGGATAAAGAAACAATATGATAAATGTCACACCTCATTTTTTCCTAGGGATAAGGGAGTTTTTTTCAATTAAAGTGACATTATTCGAAATGAGATTAATTATTCAATTTCAGAGTTGCCACTTGAGATAATTATTATGGTATCCCAAGTCACCAGGTTTATTTTAAAATACCAAATCGAGGAAATTTCACTCTGTCTTAAAGTCTGCGAAAACTAGAAGACGGGATAAGGAATTCTGTTAATCCTGGAAAAGGTGTTAGGCCTTTTCGGATTCCGTAATTTTAGCACGGTCGCTTTAATCATACCTGGCTTAATCAATTTGTTTAATTACTCAATTTAAAAAATATGTACATTTTTACCTTTTACCGCTTTTTAATTATGTCGTTTTATGGAATAAATCTTGCACGTGTTTGTTGGGCTACTTCATGGAGCTGGTAATAGGATTCACTTGGACTAAAAATGACTTTTGAGGAAGAAGACGTCAGGCAGCCTTTTCCTTTCCCTCTCGTTCTCTCTTATTTTACCCGTTTTTCCGCAGGTCTAGGTCTTTATGTATTTATAGTTGTAAGGTAATTGCTTGGAGTGAAAGAATAAAAAGGATATCGGTGTGTTTGAGAGCATATTTCTCAAAATGTCAAGAGAATCTTGTGGGGAGTGTGCAGGTGCGAAGCTACCAAGAAAAGAGGGAATTTGTTAGAAAGAATCTTTTATAAGTGGCCAATTGTGATTGGTTCTTTTTTTTTTTGGTAATATTTTTTTTTCTTGATAATAAATAAGCAAAATAATCTATTCCTACTAAAATAAGTAAATAAAAAGCAAAGTAAAATTACTACACTCAATATTTAATTCTTAAAGCCTCTAACTTAAAGAATTGTACTAAATTAGATAAAACTATTTTTTTTTAAAACTCTTCTTTCTTTGTAAATAAAAATAAAACTAATACTCTAAAAAATGTAACTCTTTTTGTAGTTTTTAATTTTTTTCAGAAAAACCTATAAAAGAGTAAAACAAAAGCTAAAACATGTAAATTATACTTCAAATTATTTACATTCTAAAAAATGGTAAAAAATTTAAATATGATCAAAAATTAGGTGCTCACAATAAAGATAGAGGGGGACTCCGATATCTGCGGATGCTGGCAGATGTACCTTGAAGTCTCCACTTACGGAGTAGCTCACTAATACCTGGTATGGTAGGCAGTACCTGGATCTACACAAAAGGATATGCAGAAGTATGGTATGAGCGCACCACAACGGTACCCACTAAGTGCCAAGCCTAACCTCGATTGAGTAGTGACGAAGTCAGGTTAGAGCCCTACTCGAAATAATAAGAAACAAGACAAAAGATATAATAATATAATGAAATGACAGAGAAGTGAAACAATGAGAATTTATGGAAGGTAATAACACAGAATCAAGAAAGACAAATACAACATGAAAGGAAAGCACAAATCTTACAAGTTAATGAACAACAACATCAACAATAATACGACAAATAGAGAAAATCAACAGGGGCACTCCCGAGGTACCATCTCGTAGTCCCAAAAGGCCAAAAGTAAATATCTCACAATCTTTCCTTATATCACCGTGGTATTATTTATATTTTGTTTGAAAATTATTTTTCCGAAATAACATCCTGTGTTTTAGCCCACCTTATCACACCACATGACTTCTAGTAGTTCCCCTACTAGCCACGCGTATCAAGCCCACCTTATCTCACCACATGCGTTTCAACACCCATACCTTATACCACCGCATGCGTATCAATAATCACAACCGCACGGTAGAAACCTCGTGTAAACAATAACAACCGCACGATAAAAACCTCGTGCAACAATAACAACCGCATGGCAGAAACCTCGTGCAACAACCAAACAATTATCTCAATAATAATCACATTAACCAAAACATAACAACTAAAAAAAGGATATTTCAATGGTAGCAATTTCAAGTAAAGAATTTCACAGTTAAAAAAGGAGTATGGAGTCAAGAAAGCAGGTAATTCAACTAAGCATGTAGTACAAGTTGCAAATAAGAGATAAGACAAGTAGACATGTGAAATTAAGCTAAACACGATGGCTATACATGCAAAAGT